GAAATATACTTATTTAAAAATGAGGTATTTAATCGTAAAATTATTGTTGGTCGGTCATTTTTGCTAGGTGAGTGTACATATATAAATCGCAAATATTTCACATCCTGCTAATTTTCGAAATTGGATAAAATTAAGAGGATATACTATGCTCAAATCCTATTTGAACAGAAATGAACGCAACTAAGTATAACATTCATAAAAATCCAACCACATCACTTTTGCTATCAGAATATTTCCTTTTCACATCAAAAAAGGTAAGAACTTTTTTTTTTTGTTTTTTGTTTTTTTTTTCTTTTACTTTCTTTTTTGAATTACTAACTACTATTTCCCTTCAACTTGTTCACCAATTTTATTATCAATCCAACTTTTGGCATATAATGATGCTCTTGCAGTCTCCAGGTGTAACTTGTTTTGAGTTTTTGTGATAGTGTTACCCATTATAGAAAAGGCTTGCTCACAGGCCACACTTGTTGCCTATATGGCTAAATGATTTCTTGCTATTAATGAAAGTGTTGGAAACTCAGTTGAATGTGCTCGCCACCAAAGAAGTGAATCCATGTTACCATTATATGGTAAAGCTAAATACTGATCTAATTCAGCAAAAATAGAATTGGTTAAGGTAGAAGTTTGTGATGTTTCAGCAGAGGTTCCTAAATGACATTTTTTTAATTGGTGAAAGTATTTTTTTGGTGATGATGATGATTTAGAAGTATTTTAAAAACAAAAAGGTTGTGATCATGTTTCTTGAGTAATATATAAGGAAAGTTGTTCTTTTAAGGTATTAATTACCTTTGTTATTTGTTCTCTAACTTCAAAAACGGAATTTTTATTTTGAGAATCTAATAATGTGATGACTGTAGTTATATCATCGATTATTATCCAATATTCTTCAATTTTATGATTTATCAAATCTGCTAACATATACTGATCAAAGCCAAATTCTTCAATACAATATTTTAAATGTGCTTTAATTTCATTAAAGAAATAACGCACATCAGCTATGGTAGAATATGACGAACTAGAAAGAATTATAATTGTTTTTTCAAGAAGCTTCAAAACAGTAAGTATTTCCTTGAATAATTAATTATTATAATTATAAGTTTTTGTTTTATAATATATATATGAAAAATTTACTAATATTATATTTACCTCTATTTTTTTCCATACTAAAGCATCTGGTATTAAATTTCATATGTCTTCATATTTAATTGCAAGCATTTTTAATGCTCTTTCCATTCGTTGCAATTTTTGAAATATATAAAAGGTGGAATTTTACCTTGTTTTTACATCAATTTCAGGTCGAAGGTATTCAAGCTTTTCCATAATACATAATTCGCGTAAATCGTTATATAATAAAACAGAATTTTTAATCTTTGCTATTAACTTACGTATATTTAATATTTCTTTATCTATTATTTCTATGCCATGTTTAGCTACAAGGTTGAGAATGTGAGCTGAACAGCGGTAATTTTTAAAAGAAAAACTGTCTAGAACCTATTCAAACTCTTCAGCTAGTTCTTTTCACAAACTACCATTGCTGATTCATTGTCTGTTATAAGTGCTAAAGTTTTAGTTATTAAATTAAATTCATTAAGAACACTAATAATTGTATTTGCTATATTAACTCTTGTATGTCGAGTTGAAAAAGGGATAATATCAAGTAGAAAACGTTTAAAATTTCAATCCTGATCAATATAGTAAATAGTTAAACTAAGATATGATTCACTACTTAATGTTGATGTTTACATGTCAGTGGTAAATGCAACCTTGCCAGGTATTTTATGTAGATTATATCCAATATTTGACCGACATTTATCAAACTCTTGAATAACTATTATTTTAATTTGATGATGATTTGGAACCTTATAATAGGGATCAAATGTATTTATCATGTTCATTTTCTACAACTCTAAAGGACTGTTGATCAGAAATTACCTAATTAGTAACTACTTGATCTTGTTCTAACTTTTCTTTAAGAGGCCAAGGATCAGTACACTTAAAATTTAAAATTGTTTATTATTTATTAACCTTTGATATTACTATATTATGTTTGTTATTCAGGTGACGTTCTATACTAGAATTTTCTGACTTTAAAAAGAAAACAAAGTCGCATATTTTACATACAGGTACTCCCAGATGAGTTGGAGTTTCGTAACTTATATAATTCCATAAAGAAGAAGTTTTACACGAGTTTTGTGAATTTTGTGAACCTTGTGAACTTTTTGTATTAGATGTAGTTGATGTTTTATCAGTATTATGAAAATTATAAAAAGGTTCTAATTCATTTTTATTAATATCATCTAAATAAAGAGGTGGATTATATGAACCATTATAAAGGTTTTCCATTATGTATTTTGGCATTTTACATAAAGTAAACGTGTAATTTTTATTAGGAAATTTTTAATCTTTTTTTTTAAAGCTAAAATTTAATTGGTTAGGACTGGGTCTTTATTAGTCTGAAAAATTGGACTTAAAGATCTGCGAACCTAGTCCTAGGACTAAGTCTTTAGGTTCAGGACCTGGAACTTTACCAACCCTACATATTAAAGTCTATTTTTTAGCTAGTAAACTTTACATTAACTTATATAATAATATATTTTACATAATTTATGATTTATTTTATAAGAAAAAAATATAAAATTCATTTTTATTTAATAACCTTTTAAATTTTTTTTGTAACTTAATTTTCATTTAAATTGTAACTATTTTTTTATAATATTTAATATAAATAAAGAAATTATATAAAAGATATTAATATAAATTCTTATTTAATGATCAATTGAATAAATAATATATATATTATAAAATATTAATTTTAAATTAAATAAATAGAAAAAATTATTTTTAACACTTTTGTATAATTTTTAAGATTAAAATATTTATATTTCTTAAACTGTAGAGTTTTGCAAACAAATTTATCTATTTATTTATTATAAATTCTTTCTGATTTATTTTTATAAAAAATTAAAATTTAAAACTTTTTTTTTTTTAAATTAATTTTATAAATATATATAATATTATAATAATTTTTATTTTTTAATATAAAACCAACAATTTAAATTATTTATAAACTAAAAATTTGTAATTTTTAAAAAAAATTTATATTAAAAAATTTTATAATTAACCTTTGATAATATTATTAATATTTACTTTTAATAATATTAATTATAATAGAATATTATAAAATTTATTATAAAGAATAACTTTAATTATTACAATTTTTATAATTTACTAAGAAATAATATGACTTTTATTAATAGTAAATTAATTCAATTAATTTGTAAACATATGAATTTTAAGAAAATATTTAAAAAATTATTAAAGTATATTAAACTTTATAATTTAATAATTATATTATACTTTAAAAAATATTTATTTTATATAAATATATAAAAAAAAGATAAAAAGTAAAAAAAAATAAAATAGTACTATATTCTTTAAAAATAAGCATTTTTTTTTTTACTATTCCTTAAACTATAAAGCTAGCAAATCTGTTTGCAAACATAAGAAAAGTATTAATTTTTTAATAAATATAAGATATTAATTTTAATAATATAATTATTATATATAAAATATAGTTTAATATATATTTTATTAACTTTTTTAGAAAATTTAAGTTTATTAAGAAAGTTTTTTTAAATAATTCAATTTTAAATTTAAGTTTTAAAATATTTATTATAATTTATTATCTTTATAAAATATAATATACTAAGAAATTAGGTAATATTTTTCATTTAATTAGTAAATCAAATAATAAAAAGCTTATTATAATTATTATTTGTTACTAAATATGATTATTTTATTATTTTATTATAGAAATCAGTAAATTTATCACTAATGAAATTCAAATATATAAAACAAACAAAATGATTTTGATGTAATTTATATAATACAAATCTTAACAAAAACGTTCTGATTTGATTATTGACAGATACGCAGTAGTTTATCATAAAAAATAAAAAAAAAAATGTTATTTCTCAACATTAATAGGCATATATTGTCAAGCGGAATTATATTAACGCATACTCGGATTAAATAGGAATAAATCACATGACATAAACATAAAAACAAAACTGCGCCGATTCTCCTTACGAAGTATTTGGATAAATTCATATAACCAATAAATTTGATATAAATTAAATTTTTTTTTTATTTGTACATCATTTTGTTTCTCCTTTCTAAATCAAAAAAATTTTTCTTTTCTTTTTTTTTTTTTTTTTTTTGACTTTTGATAACTTTACTTCTTTTACTTTAATACAAAATGTCTCATCAAAATTTAAAACAAGAAAAAGGTGTAGAAATTGCATTGGCTTATTTAAGAGAAGTTAAAAATCGATGTAAAAAACCTAAAATATTTAATGAATTTTGTGAGACTATGAAATTATTTAAAAGAAAAGAAATTACTGAAAGTAATTGTCATAATGTTGTTAAAAGTCTTTTTAAAGATGATCCCGAATTATTAGAAGGGTTTTATGTTTATTTTCCTAGACAATCATTATCATCATCGACTTTTTGCATAAGCACAACACAAGAAGTTAAAGTGGATAATAAAGAAAACAATACTAATCATATGAACATTAAAAGCCAAGTTGTTTTTAACAATGAAAATGACAAAAAATTGGATTTTCGAGGTATTGAGAGGCTTTTTCGATATTTACATACATACATATATATGTAATATGAAGAATAATATAGCATTGATTTACAATTTGTACTTCACTTTGCAGAGAATGATCGTCAAAGTCATATTATTATTAGCACCGGAGAAGAGAAAATGGTGATGATCGATAAAGAATTGGAAAGTGAAAATATCTCTAACATTAATCAAGGTACTAAGGTAAGTTATATTAATATGATTAAGAATGTAATTTATCAACCTTTTTTTTTATGAAATTAAACATTTATTATAATTTATTTATCTTAGACAGAATTTATTAATGAATTTTATACAAATTTTCGTTCACCAAAGAAAGAAGCATCCGATCTTTCAACAGTTATTTCTAATTCTAGAAGTTCTTCATTCTCTCAAACATCATCACCACAAAGTTCTTTCAAAAATGTTGAGATTTTTGATGATGATGATAATAACATTACCTCATTAAAGCCATCATCACCTATAAGAAAGAAAGATACACAATTACAACAGCAAATAGCATCATCATCTCCAGCGTCAAATTCATCGGAAACGGGTTTAAGGAGAAGCACTCGTAATCGTAAAGTTGCTTCGAAACCAGTTGATGATGCTTATGTTTTTTATAAATAATTGTGTTCTTGTAGTAAACTTAATAATTTATGCTGCGCCACTGTTGACATTAAAATTTTGGAATCTCTTTTTTTTTTTAAAAAAAAAAAAGTCCTAGTTGCAAATTTTTTTTTTCTAATTAATGCTTTTTTATTATTATTTTAAAACGAATAAATTTATTAATGTAAACGCCTTTCTCAAAACATCCAGTATTTATTATGTTCCTTTGATGATTAAATCAATGATATTATTACAAATAAAATTTAAAAAAAATATATAATTTAGGAAAAAAAAAGAAAAAAACAATCGATTGGTATTATTTGATTTAAATTATTTTTCAGGAGTAGCGTTAGCCATTTTCCAATATTTATCAACAAAGAGACTTTTACTTTTTATGTTTCTGGTAAGCATACTTCCAACAACAAGCCCATTAAATATTGGTAAAAGACCAGCACCACCATTCTTTCCTACGGTAATAATCATAGCTTCTTTCACAGGCTTGTATTCTTCCAATCTTTTATTTGTTAAATAAGAAACGATATTTTTACCAACTAATTCACCATGTAGGCCAGCCCTAAAAGCTAACTTTGATTCAGGGATATTAGTAATATCTCCAATAGCAAAAATATGATCATATTCATCTAACTCTAATTGTAGAGTTGATTTAACTTTAACCAAATGAGTATTTTCGTCTATTAAATCTGCATTCAACTGTTCAATTATTGATGTATTCGGTTTTTGCCCAATTGCAACAAATTGTATATCTGATTCAACAGTTTGTCCTTTTTCCGTTGTAATCGTCATTTTTGATAGTCCATTTCCAACATTATATCTTTCAAAATCAATTCTATCTCCAAGAATTAAATTGACATTAAGATCTTTAAGTTGTGTTGCAAGTGAATCTTTTAATTTCTTTGGAAACTTTGGTGTAAGTAATTCTTCCTTCCCATGTATAAGTGTAATTTCTTTTTCCTTCCCATAAACACTTGCAATTTCACCGGCCAATTCAATACCAACAGGTCCACCACCGACAATTAACACCCTTTGAGCTTTTTTTAAAGCTTCACGTTGTTCCAAAATTTCTTTAACATCATCATCTTTATTTTCTCCGATAAATTTAGCAGGACGAGAGTAATCACTTCCAGTAGCAATGACGGCAATTTCAAAATTAATTTTAAGTTCTTGACCATTGCTTTTTCTTACTATTAAATCATTTTTTTTGAATCTTGTTACAATACCGTGGATTATTTTACCATCTCCATGTTTATCAAATATATGATCATATGGAATAATTATTTTTTTTTCAAATCCTTCTTCGACAATTGTTCTTAATCCTCCGATATCATGATGAAAATGAGATTTTTTTTCAATTAAAAGAATTTGGTGAGTATTACTTAACGCGCTAGAAAGTTTTTGAGCGGCTGTCAACCCCGCGTAACCACCTCCGATAATTACAATGTTTGGTTTGTTTGTTGAAGCAGACATGTTTTGTTGTAATAAAAACAAAAAAAAATTTGGAGAAATACTCCCATTTTTATACTTGTCCGAACAAATTATCTGAACAAATTATCTGATATCGGGCCGTTTATAATGTTCGAACCTATATTAATAATCAGAATAATAATCAGAAAATTATTAAGCCGGGATTTTCGTTACGTTCAAGTTGATCAAAATTATTTGAAATCAAATATGATTATATAATGCACCAGACCGGGAAACTCGGAAAAACAAAACATATGCTACACAAAACTTATACTATAACCTATCAAACTAATAAAATGAGAAAAATTGTAGAGTCGGGTCACCCAAGTGAGTGATACTCAACTGCTCGTTAATTCCTTATATTTGATTGGCCCTACTCTACAACTTTTCGTATTACCTAACTTAGCTAATTTAATTTTTATAATTAGGAAACGAAAATTTAAATTTTTTTGTAAAAATATATAATTGCGGTCGGTCACATTAATCGACCGCATTTTTGATTCCTATTGGTGTTTTGATTTAAATTGTTGACACAATTTTTTTTTCACTTTTCTTTTTTCTATAATTCTTACAATGGTACATCCTGTATCACTTGTAAATCTGTCTTTATCCTAATAAAATATAATAAATTTAAATT